TGCCTTACTTTATACTATACTTTATACTATCCATTGCCTTGCCTGGAGTGTCTCATTCATCCTGTAAACTATCTCAGCCTCCAGGACCTCTGCTGGGTGGTACAGGATTACCAGGTACTATTCAACTGCTGGTGGTCCGCGAGATTGCCACTTATACCTTATATTTTTACAGTCCTTTACAGTTTATAATTTAAAAAACACTTTTTCACTTATCCTCTTATTTAATCTTCTATATGTTCATTATAATAACACACAAATATAGAAAGAAAAGATCAGTGAGTAAGGTAACATTAATCTCAGTTTTCATAGGAAGAAAATGAAGCCAAGGGAAGTTAGGTGACTTGCCCTGACTGAAAACCAGGTTCTTTTGCTAGGTCCAGTGTCCCTTCCTCTAAACCACAGCTACCTGTAAAATGAGGACTTTTTCAAATCATGTGCCTAGACTCCTCTGGTATTTGAATGTTTATGTCACGAAATTTTTATATTGCATTTGCCCCATTTGAATTTCATATCATTTTTTTGGTAGGGTTTTTTTCCCTAACTTTTCTATAATCACTCCTAACTTAGAATTGTCTACGTTCAGATTTGATGAACTATTCTTAGTTTCTGCATGTCAGTCATTTGTCCATTGGTGATCCTGAAGGATTTAATCTGAACTCCCAAAATAACAATTGTGGTTTTGTCATGTTTTAAAGTATCCATAGCCCTGATGATTGGAGTAAATGCAGTTTTTTTCTTATAGTCTGTACCTATTTTAGTTACATTCTCTGTTCTTCCAGTATAAATGGAACTTGCTCCAGCCAACTGTTGAAATCGCAGTTAAGAAAATACAGCTAGTTTTTTCTGCCTCTCAAAAGAGGGGGGAATAAAACAAGTTTTGTTAGTCTGTCTTTTTAGCATAATGTATTTAAGGCACTTTAAAATATTTATTTAGCTAGTTGCACAGTGTTTCATAGACTAATCTTGTCCCTATACCTAACGCTATTTATCTGTACTCACTTTTAGGTATATTGACTTAATTTCTCTTTTTTTTTCTGGCTTTCTCATTTATTTTTCATGTCCATAGCTTTTAGTATTTTGCCTTTGCAGCCTTTATTACTGGCAGAGTCTTAAGCATGCAGGACTGATTTCTTGACCACCAATAGCACTCCTTTCTGCTGGAGTTTTTGTCACTTAACACTTTATTGATAAATTTGGTGTATTGCTCCATAATTGTTTCTTGTGGATAAGTCTCTATTCCCTGTTGTGATTTTAATTAGTAGTCTTAGATGGCAAGGATTATGCCTAACATGTCTTTGGAAAAATCCCTCCAAGAAGAAACCAGAGAAAGAATACACAGAATATGTCTTAGAGTGTGTGCAAATATTCAGCTTTTCAGTCAGTATTTATTTGAATGCTTACCATTTTACCATCCATTCTTCTAGTGAAGCACAATCAAGCAATGGGTCCCCTGGGCTTACACACTAGTAGGAGGTTAACCAGTTAATTCAAGACAGTGTGATGTGGGACCTGAGAGATAAGTTGAGTTGTAATGTATGTATGTGGTATATGTATATCAAGGAAGCTCTTCAACACCGTCAACGTGTCTGGGAAGGTAGCCTTTGATATCGTCTGATACCTGAAGGATAAACAAGAGTTGACCAGATTTAGCAAGGGTGGGGAGGGGTGAGGGAATTGGGAAAGGATGCTCATTTGAAGGAAAGAAGACCCATCTCTCTAGCTAGAGGGTAAAAATGTTCATTAGGGCTACAGCATAGAGTTCAAGGGAGAGGCTGTAGAAGTGATGGGGATCTGTAATGGGCTTATTAAGTGTTTGGGTGTTAGCCTAAGAACAGGGTTTTTTTAAGCTGGGGAGCAGCGTGATCCAATTTGTAGTTAGTCCTCTGGCTATGCTGTGGGGAATGGTTTGACAGATAAGAGCTTTAGCTAAGAATTCATTGAAGTAATGGGGGGTAGAGATGATAGTAATCTCAACCAGAGTAGGTTAAGTGGAAGGATTCAAGAGACATTGTCTTTGAGAATTATTGATTGCAGGGGAGGGGTGCATTAAGAGAAAAAGAGACAAGGCTGAGGTTGATTAGAGGTCCTTCGGTTCTGTTCCCTTCTCATTCCTCCATCACGGATTTTAGGTAGTCATAGATTTTGAGCTGTAATATCCATGGCTATAAAATAAATACATTTGGGCCCAGGGGGACACTTTAAATTTTAATATTTTCTAAAATCTCTCTAGGAAGACTTTAGATTACAGAGGATAGTTTTATGTTAGAGATATTCTATATAAAAAGATTAAATAGCATACTGAGGTATATAAACTAATTTACAATAATGAAAAAGCCATCTCATTTAATATCCCAGGGGAAATGTAAAGTTCTAACCCTATTTTTAAGCATTATGCTATTGAACATCAGTTCATTGATAATATATTTATTAGCCAAGGACAGAATGTGAACTTTTCAGTATAGAATTATCCATCCATTACCCAGCCTTCACTGAAATAAAAATCTAGACAAACTTAATGAAAGTGTTTGTTAGGTACACAGGTAGTTCCAAGTAGTTTCAAGGGTTATCAAGAGCCATTTGTGGTTCCCTGGGAGAGTCTGGATCAATGATCAAATGAAACCAGTTATTGCTTTGGGATTATGCTTCTTTGGTAGGAACTCACCAGTGGCAGTTCCCTCCTAAATACCATATGGGCAGTTATTTCCCTCTCTCCCTTCACCCATTTTTCTCTCCCTTTGTTCCTTATTTTCTTTCAAGTTAATTTGTTTTTTACTAAACCTCCCTTAAAATCTTGGACTTATGAAGTTCCCTTGAGAAGCGTAAATGATATAGAACTGGTACCTTTGTTTTGGTCTTGGCTTTACCAAAAGCAGGTCTGTGATTATGAACTTGCCACTTCTCAGGATCTTGGTTTCTACATTTGTAAAATGAGAAGGCTGAAGTAGATTCGTGATAAGGGGAATCCCAGCGATGATTCTTTTATCTGCCTTTTTTTTTCTGAGTCCTGTATATCCAGTTGCTTCCAGGCCTTTGTTTATTTGAGGGTCCCACTTGTACTTGAGATTTGTTATCAGAGCCACCCTCTCAGATTCAGGCTTCGACGGGTTGTTGCAGCCCCACCGTCAGAACCAAAGGACTAAAAGGTGAGTTACTGAAAAGCATTCCCAGCTGGGGTGGTTGCTGAATAGGGAAAAGGAGAAACCACTGAACATTTTACTACAGATTGTGCTACCTCCGAGGACACGAGGCACACATTTCCTTGCAAAGGTTGTAATTCTCTCTCCCACCCCCAAGTCCACCATTTGCAGTTTGGGTTATAGCAATGCCACCTCTACACCTATCCTCAGGTCCTGCTCTAGCATATTCCTCACCCTTCCTTCCATTACTAAGGAAAGCCTTCCTAATATCCATCCTCAAGCTCATTTCCTCAGGGAATGCTGATTAGCCCCACTTACTATCCATCAATCACATTTAAGCCCCCCCTTGTTAAGTGTTATTCTTTAAAATATATTTAAAAGAGGTTCAGATGCAAAATAGGAAAATGCCAATTTATAATAGTATATACAGTAGTGTCTTCCATTGTTTGAAACAGGGTGACTTTGCACATATTGATCTGTTTTGTCTCCCAGATGAAAGATCCGAAATTACCCTTCACCTATAAAGTCATTTAACCAAACTTGTTTTCTGTGCTCATTGTGATTACTTGACTTGTTGAAGCCAATCCTAGCTTAGAAATTGGCATGTATGCTTTTGCAAAATGGTTCTTATAAGGACTATAAAAATGTGGTCCTTGAAAGCTGTTTGAGAAAATGTATTGCTCTTGCTGTGATATTAGCAATGGTATTTTTTAAATGTTATGTCCCCTCTACGTAAGTTTAAGTATAAATTGGATATTTTTTAAAAGCTGTCTTTCTCTACTTCTTTGATGTATTCAGGTTTGAAATAGATCTTGGAACACCTGTATGTTTGCTGGACTAGTGGTTGTTGGGTTTGTTGGTTTACCACTAGAACCATCTCCACAATCTATCCCTCTGATAATAAGGACCGTGACTCCTGTCAACAGGAGATAAATACTTTGCATCAGTCCCCCACCCCACCCCCAGTACTGTCAGTTCCCCAGCCCCCACTGCTCTCACTTCTACAGAAGCAAAGATGATGTAATTACAACACATTTTCCTCTAATACATAAATTGAAACCACCCTTTACTGATTCCCTTTGGGATGTTTGTTTTAACTTTTGTTTTATTGGTGGAGACCACACTGATTTGCCTGCTACCCTAGGATTACTTGATTGCAGTCTTCTAAGAAGCAAAGAACCAGGTCTGATTTAATGTTTAGCAAAGTAGTGGTTGTGGTAGAAATTTGTAAGTTTTGGGAATGCAGTAGAATAGGATTGAATGACGTTAAGGAATCCTTTAATGCATGCTTTTGAATAAATCTTTAGCAGTGAATGGTCTCTTGTAGATCTCAGAGCCACTAGAAAGAAAACTGGGGTGTTTTGTTTTGAACCTTGCAAATAGTAATAACTCTTTACCTTTCTACTAATACCCCCACCCCCACCACGCTCCTGCTTGCTTACAGTTGTCAACGATACCCACCCCATAGTAGCAAGTTTGTTAGTGATTTTTACATAAGGTGCAAATCAAGGAATGTCTTCGTCCCTGCTGCGCGCAGATGGGACTAGCTTGGGGAAGACGCAGCTGAGCAGACAGTTTCTCAGGGTGACTCATTATCAACACTGACCGTTGCTTTTAAATCCACCAGGGAAAATGTACCAGACATTGTTATGATGAAAACAACTGGGAGGGGTGGTGGTGAGGAGAAGAACCGAGATAAAATTTGGCCAAGGCTACGTGTCGCCCTGAAGCCACGGCAGCGGGGCGGGCGGGGCGGCCAAGGCACCTGCGAGGAGCGCGGGCAGGCGGGCGTGGCCTGCGGGCGTGGCGCCGGGGGGCGTGGCCGGGGGCGTGGCCGGCCGGCCGGCGGCGCCGGCGGTTGGAAGTGGGTGGAGTTGCCCTTGGAGGCGGCACCGGCCCTGGGCCCCGAGGCCCGCCGCGCCCTATCGGGCCCGAGCCGAGTGGCCCCGCGGAGCCGGCGCGCTCCCGCCTGCAGGGGGAGGGCGGACGGGGCGCGGGGACCGGCCAGGCCGCGGCGGGCGCTGTTTCTCTTTCACTTTCCTTCCCTCTGAGGCCGGCGCGCTGGCGGGCGAAGAGCGGCGGTGGCGGCGGCGGCGGCGGCGGCCGCGGGGTAGGTACCGAGCGGGCTTGCGAGGCGGCGGAGGTGCCCCGGCCGCCCCCGCGCTCCCCGCCCAAGTTTGCGCCCCGGGCGGGAGCGGCACCTCCAAGCACCTGCCGCGGCCGGCCTTGCCTGGAGCTGGGAAGCCCCTTGGGGTCGGGGGTGGCCGGGGGTGGATCTGGGGGCTTCGGAGCCGCGTCCTGCCCTCGAGCGCGGAGAGGGCGGCGGGCTGCCGGCGCTTGGCCCCGGGAGAGGCGGCGCGTCTTCCCCGGCGTAGCCCCGGCCCGGCCCGAGCAGCGCGTCCTCCGGGCCTGGGCCCGCGCACCTGCCGGGCGGGTGGGGCGGACTTGTGCTTGGACCGCCCAGGGCCGTGCCGCCGGGTCCCGCCGGAGGACGCGGAAAAGTTCCGTGCCACCCCGTCACTGCAAGTACTTGCTTCCTTTAACTGTCTTGGTGACAGGACTCTGTGGCTTACTCTCTTCATACCACCCGAGGTCGGGACCGTGCATTTCCTCTTTCAGAAGACTTTCTCTTAACTCTGGAGCTTCCTGGCAAACCTGTGGAAAAGGCAGGGCCGTTAGTCCCGATGTCTAGAGGAGAAGCCGAGACCCAGGCACGGATATTAAATGCCTTACTGAAAGGTCATACAGGGCTAAGGACCAGAACCCGTAGACGCCCTTGGCTGTTATTTATGCTCCCTTTGTGTTACACCCTCGGCACAACTTTCCTGAGCGGGTAGGATGATAACACGCAGAACCTACTCCGTGCACATTCTTAATGGCGATGTGTCCATGGAATGATGCCTTTTGCCTCCAGTTGCTTTATATCTGTGAGTTAACAGCTAAGATAGGAGAAAAGTTCCTGTTTATAGGATTAACTTAGGAAATCAGTACCTTCTTTAATGCTGTGTTTTCTCGGAGAACACATTTGTTTGTAAGAAACCTTTTAAACTATTTTTTCTTTAGCAACCCCATGTAGCAGCCAACAATGCTAAACATTTCTGGAAAAAAAATAATGACGTTTAGCTTTTACTGTGTGCTAGCTTTATGTATATGGTTGCACTTAATCCTCACCACTCTAGGGAGCTGGCACTTTTATTTTTATTTTATAGTTAAAAAAAAAAAACAGATTTAGAGAGGTTAAGTAACGTAGCCCAGGTTATACATTTACTAAACGTGATTGGTTTCTATCAAAGATTGTATAGTCTAATAGAGGACATAAAGAATGAATGTAACTATAAATCAAAAGGAAAATGTAACAAAAGAGAAGGATTAAATCTGAGACCTGAGAAGAGAATACACTGAGGATAACTTTGGAGAAGGGTTTCCAAAGGATATAGGTAGGATTTAGACAGAAGGGCTTTTTGGACAGAGGTTATATAGACCCTGCAGAATGGACTGTGAGAGCATGATCCTTTCAGTTTGCCTAAAGAAAAGTGTTGAAGGGTATGCTAAGGTCAGCCTGTGCAAGGTCTTATATGGAAAGCTAAGGAATTTAAATGTCTTTCTGTTTGTAAAGAGGAGACCCTAACGGCTTCTGAGAAGAGGACCCAAATGTAATAGAATAAAATAAAGCTGGTAGAATGTAAGATGGACTGCCGGTGGAGAGGTCATATTCAAGTAGGGTGGCTATGGATGAAATGAAAAAGAACATCAACTTGATTTCACTGACTAGATGTGGAGTACAAAATGGAAATAGGAAGCATATTGGTAGAGGGGCGCCTGGGTGGCTCAGTCGTTGAGCGTCTGCCTTCGGCTCAGGTCATGATCCCAGGGTCCTGGGCTCCCTGCTTGGCAGGAAGCCTGCTTCTCCCTCTTGCACTCCCCCTGCTTGTGTTCCCTCTCTCGCTGTGTCTCTCTCTGTCAAATAAATAAAATAAATAAAATCTTAAAAAAAAAGCGTATTGGTAGAAAGGACAATGACTTCAATTTTGAATATTTAACTTGTATTGGCAAGAACTCCTAATAGAGCAGTCGAGCAGATAGCTAAAATGCATTACTGAAGAGGTAAAGATATCAAAACTGGAATTAATCGCTTTGGGTGTCATTTGTGTAGAGGTGAGAGTTAAGGCTCCAGGATTGGATGAATTTGGCATTATCCTGAATTAAATCATAGCAAGTTTACAAATTAATGTGACAGTAAGAGACATGTTCTATTTACCCGTTTGCCCAATTTGGAGCATGTAACACTTGCTGCTAATATGTTATTAATATACTATGAGGAATTTGACACCTTTTTCTCTTATCTTTTTAAAATACTGTGGAAACAGATATGGGAAAGCAGAACCACCAAAAGGAGTGATGACCAGCGATCTCATGATAAATCTGGATGTTAGTTCTCATGCCTCAGGACATCCAGTTGGGAACTCCACACCAGCTCCTGGGATCAGACTTCATCCACTTACTACCCCTCTTTGCCTGAACTACTAAAGCCAGTCCTAGCTAACCACGAATGGCTACCCAAAGGAAACACTTGGTGAAAGATTTCAATCCTTACATCACCTGCTACATCTGTAAAGGGTACCTGATCAAGCCAACTACAGTGACGGAATGCCTCCATACCTGTAAGTATTCTTTAAGTCCTTTACCCATCAGAAGTTATGGGTTACACTTGTTCTTTTAAAACTACCACATTTTGTTTTTATATCTAGATTTTCATTTCAAAACGAGTATTCCAAGAATCATCCTAACTTTGAATTTATTTTCAGGATTGAATTTGTCATTGGGATACTGTGGCATGAAATTTTTCTTGTATTATTATATAATAGTTGACATTTATCTAATTTTAATGTTCTAAAAATCATAAACATGTTATTGGTTATAGTTTTTAAAAAGTGAACTATTTTAAGTTTTTTATTTTAAAAAATTATATTGAAGGAATTGATCTGCTCTCAGGTTTTGTTTGGGTATGCATACTTTAATTCATTGGCCTTTTTAGATCCTTTATTGAGGGGTATGGTTGACATATTAAAAAAACTGTACATATTCAATGTATGCAACTTGATGAGTTTAGGGATAAGTATAGACCCATGAAACCATCACCACATCTATGCCATAAAGCTATCCATTACCCACAAAAGTTTTCTCCCTTGCTCTTACTATTATTTTTGTGATATGAACACTTAAATTCTACCCTGTTAGTAAGTTTTAAGCATACAACACAGTAATATTAACTGTAGGCTATTCTGTGCAGTAGATCTCTAGGACTTAATCATCTGTTTAACTGAAATTTTGTACCCTTCGACTAAAAAACCTGCAGCCTCTGCGTCACCTGGAAACTTGTTAGAAATGCACATTATCAGGCCCCAGTTCAGAATTACTGAATCAGAAACTCTGGGAGTGGGCCCAGCAATCCATGTTCAGTAAGCCTTCTAGGTGATTCTGAAGCATGATCAAGTTTGAAAATCTCGTTCTAATAGGATCATATCTGTGGAACTCATATCAGGTTTCTTTCTCACCTGGCCTATCAATAGAAGAAGGTTTGGTGGATCAATGGTGGTGAGGTTCATGCATGTGTAAATCTTTCCAAGTAATGGTGATATATATTATCTTTGGGTATTACTGGCTTATGCTAGTCAATTAGCAATTAACTATGAACTATCTTGAAATACTAATTTATTGTTGCCCTGTATCATTATTTAACTTGAACATTTGCCAGTTAAATATCATCGAACAAATATTTATTGAATACCTACTGTGTGCCAGGCACCGTCCATTCCAGACAGAAAGGATACAGCAGTGAACAAGATAGTCAAAAATCTATGCTCTCGAGAAGTTTTAACATTCTAGTGGGTAAAACTGATAATAAACATGTGCCATGTTGGATAGTGATAAATGCTATGAAGGGAACAAAGAAGGGTTGTAGATAGGATGTTATTTTACATAGTCAGAGTTGACCTCTTTTATGACATTTGGACACAGACCTGAAGGAACTGAGCTCTGTGGCTAAATGGGAAGAGCATTCTAGACAGAGGGAAAAGCAAGTATAAGGCCTTGAGGCAGGAATGTCCTTGGGAGATTTATGCAACAGCGGTCACTGCAGGTCAGCTGAAAGATTATAGAGTCTTCAACCAGAGTAACGAGGTGTGAGATTGGAGCCTGGGAGGAGCGATTGGATTGTGGATGTATTTTGGAGGAAGGGCCAATGGATGTGGCTACTCTAGGGCAAGGACTTTCTGTTATACTCCATGTTTCTTGCTATACCATCCATGGTACCTGGACATGGTCCACAGTCTGTTTTGTTTTGCTCCTTCTAACACTTGTGCATTATTTTCATATTTGGATTTCTCCAGCAAAAACTGTCAACTCTGGAAGATGAGAAGAAAGCCCAGATTCTCCAGTTCTACCTTTCTAATGCAGATTTTATATCTGTTTTTCTGAAAGAAAATTTTCTCTGGGACATAATGAAATCTCAATTTAAATGCCACTTTTTTGGAGGAAAACAAAAGATTCCAGAAGTATAAACAGGTTATAAGCAAGGGCTATGTTTATGTTTGCAACAGCAGTTTAAAGTCTAAAGGGGTAAGTGACAGTTTAACCACACAAGTCATCCTAGCCTGAAAAAATCCTTGGCTGTCATCAAGCCCCTTTACTGAGAGAGAATGTACATGGCCAAAGTGGAATTAAAAGACAGTGGTGAATCATAAATATGATCTTTATCATCAGCAGGAGTACAGAATAGTAGAGTAAATGATGAAGGAATCAGGTAGTCAACCCGGTGTCTGTGGAGCCCTGAGGATCCTATAGTACTCATCTTTGTGCACTTTCTGGTCCCTGGATTTCTGGTTATTATTTTGTTTGTATTTATATTAGGGCTTGTAGGCAAAAACTATCCCATTTGCAAAGTATCCTATTTGTAATGATAAAATAAACAGTACTGTGAAGCAATGTTCCTCAGTCATTGGTTGGGTCTTTGATCTTACCCAGTTTTCTTATGTATAATGTGGGTCAAATATAATGATACTGTGATTTGAGATAGTATGAAATAGAAAAGTCAGATGGCCAAATGGGACAGGAGGAAAGTGAGAAATGTTAAGTGACAGTGTAGTACACCATTAATATTTTTTATCTTGATTTAGGCAAATAAAAAGAATATCTTATTAAAATAACTTTGTACAAATACTACAATTTTGTGAGTTTTTACTATAAGTAAAGAATGAGTAAAACATAGTTCTTATTATGAAATTCATAATAAAATATAAAGATTTTAGTCTTACTGTTCAAATTTGAAATACATAAGTGGATCTTTATTATTGCTGAGCAAAACCAGACATGGAGTCTGCCCTTCTGGACTTTCTGGTCAAATGAAGAAAGACAGAGTAATCAAGTTAAGAAATATATGAAATAACTGTGGATGCTGATAAGTGTGATGAAACTAATAAACAGAATGATATAATAGCAGGTGTGGGTCAGGATATTGCAGCAGAATGGCATGCAAGAGATAAAACTAGAGTGCTTTTTAAAATTTCTAAAGCCATAGGCCTTGGCCTTCCCTGACAAGGACATGAGTATGCTTGGGCCTGGCTGCGGTAGAGGTGCAATGGGTGGGAGGTAGGGATCATGAGTGGTTCTCCTTGCTTTGATAGGGATAAATGAAGTTACTTGACTCTTCCTTCAAAATACCCTGCAAATGCGTTTAATCTCTTCCCCTCTCCTCCTCAAATCAGATAGGTTGATGCTCTCATTCTCCCATTGAGAAACTCTGGAGCTAACATTGCCTGGCTTCCCTATCAATGTACAAAAAAGGGCCGACAGGACCAGCAGGATGACTGACTATAGTAGCCCTTGATGTTGTTAGCAGCAGAGCTGTGTGGAAGAAGGAGAAAGAGCCACTTAGAAGGATGGGAGAGGTAGAGATGGCAGGGCAGACTGCGTCCCAGGCTCCTGGCAAGGAGTTGCAAAAAAAAAAAAAAAAAAAAAACAGAAAAACAAAACAAACGCTTATAAAAGCCCCATCTTTAAGTAGACTCATACCTCACCTGTTAACACCGTTTCTCTTCAGCAGGCTAAGGACACTTGATAAACAGATAAAATTTTAAAATGAGGTAGAAATTAAAACAGAAGTGAGTTTTAGCTTTAAATGGTCACTTCATGCTAGATGAATTAAATCCACATTAACCATGGTTATAGGTCTGTGAGATAATTTTAACCCAAACCAAAAAACCTAAGGAAATAAACATGTCTACCCAAATAATAATTGAATTACTTAAAATAATTAGTTGTCAGGCACTTTGCTAGCCACTGCGGTAGAGTGGTAAAAAAGACAAATTTGGAACTTAAACTCTATCAAGAAAAACTTGTCATAAGCCAAGAAGAAATTTCTACATGTGTATTTGGATCTTTTTCTTTTCCGTGTGAGCTCATCTACTCTGGGACTTCCGCTACATGTGCTGATGTCTCTCCCAGATCTTTATTTCTGGCATAGACCTTTCTTCTGAGTTTCAGAATCCTATTGGATGAGCCACTTGGATGTCCTAAAGCCACCTGGGGCTCAGCATGTCTAAAAATGAATGAATGGGATGCCAACACTCAGTTATCCCAAACACTTGACTCCTTTTATCCTCCCTAACAAAATGGGGACCAAGTCCTGTCTGGTCTCTCTGTTTAATATCTCTCAAATCTGTCCCTTCACTTCCACCCCCTTGTTACTGTTCCGTCAGGCCCTCATTACTTCTCACCAGTCACTGCAGCCCATTTCTAACCTGTGTCAAGGTGTGATCATTTAAAACAGCTACTGTCTTCATCACTCACTTTTCAGCCACCCCAGAATTTCCTAAAGATATCCTAGTGCCCTCAGGAGAAATTAAAGCTACTTAGCTATGCCCACCGCTTCCTCCCTTACCACCTACTGCACACACATGTACATACTTGGTTCAGCTGTGTGTTCTGCTTAGAATGCACTTTTCCTGTATGCCCAGCTAGCCATTACCCATCCTTTAAAACTCATTTCCTCCAAGATATTCCACCTACCTGTTACCACAGGCAGATTTGGGTTACGTGTATCCTTGGTACCTGGTACTTGAGTGCTTAATAGATGATTAAATGAATAAATAAATGGCCAGTTTATTGATTATTTTACCGTTTTTCCTTTTAAAGATTCACATGCAGTAATAGGTAGCTTGAAAGGCATGTAGGCAGTGTCAGTTAGGAATTATGTATTTTGAAAAACTGTCTTCTACAACATAGGTGGAAGCCATGTAGGTCTTGCAGAGAGATGCTGGACTGGAGACTACAGATTGGCAGTTCTAGATTAAAGGATGCTCTGTCTCTTGCACCAGGATCCTCAGAAACTTTCTGACGTTGCTTAGAGTATATTTGCTTGTGGTTGTATAGGTTGGTGACTTAAAATGAAGGACTTTTCACTTAACCTAAAAACAAAGGAGCTTTGTTCCAGCAGCTAAAATGTGAAGAATACAGTGCATTGGTTCTTAACTCTTTTGTGGTTAGAGGCCTCTTTAAGAATTTGATGACTCTTTCCTCGGGGGAAAAAAGAAGAGGGTTATAGACATAGAAATCTGTGGTACAGGAAAGGAAAGCTTTCTTCTTTGTGCCCTTTCAGAGATTG